TAAACACCTAATCTGTGATAGGCAATGTTATAAGCACTCTCAGATTAACCTTTTTTAAAAAATAGATTTTTTTTGCCCTAACTAGTTTGGCTTAGTGGATACAGTGTCAGCCTGCGGACTCAAGGGTCCCAGGTTCAATTCTGGTCAAGGGTATGTACCTTGGTTGCAGGCACATCCCCAGTGGGGGGCGTGCAGGAGGCAGCTGATCAATGTTTCTCTCTCATCGATGTTTCTAACTCTCTATCCCTCTCCCTTCCTCTCTGTAAAAAATGTATAAAATATATCTTAAAAAATAAATAAATAAAATAAAATAGATTTTTATTGATTGAAGAGAGGAAGGAAGAGGGAAGGAGAGAGAGAAACATCATCGATGTGAGAGAATCGTGGATTGGCTGCCTCCTGCACGTCCCCTAGTGGGGATCGAGCCTGCAACCCAGGCATGTGCCCTTGATCTGAATCAAACCCAGGACCCTTCGGTCCACAGGCCAACACTCTATCCACTGAACCAAAACGGCTAGGGCTCAGATTAACTTTCTAAATATCCTTAGGAGGTAGTTAATGTCGTTAGTCCCAACTGATAGAGGAGGAAAATGGAAACATAAGGTCGCCGCATATTTGGTATGGAGGAGGCTGTGATTTGAAACCAGGTAGTCTGGCTCTAGAATTGGTGCCCTTAGCCACTATGACCATCTAGCTAGCAATCGTGGCTATTTTCAAAGCTCTTTCTTCAATTAGATACTTCCTGTAGGTGTTTCTCAAATGTCATCTAAGAGAGACCTTATGCCTGGCCACTCCAGCTAAAATTCACATACACACATTATATCTTTTCCTGTTTCATTTTTTAAAATATATTTTATTGATTTTTTACAGAGAGGAAGGGAGAGGGATAGAGAGTTAGAAACATCAATGAGAGAGAAACATCGATCAGCCGCCTCCTGCACACTCCCTACTGGGGATGTGCCCGCAACCCAGGTACATGCCCTTGACCGGAATCGAACCCGGGACCCTTCAGTCCGCAGGCCAACGCTCTATCCACTGAGCCAAACCAGTTAGGGACCTGTTTCATTTTTCTCCTTAACACTTATCACCATATTATACATTTTACTTATTTTTAAATATATATCTTTATTGATTTCAGAGAGGAAGGGAGAGAGAAACATCCCATGATGAGAATCATGGATTGGTTGCCTCCTGCATGCCCCCCACTGTGGATCTAACCCGCAACCTGGGCATGTGTCCTGACCAGGAATCAAAACTCGACCTCCTGGTTCATAGGTCAATGCTCAACCACTGAGTCACACCAGTCAGGCTACATTTTACTTACTTACCTCTATATGATTATTACTCAAAATTGTTATTCTTTACATTTGTTATCTGTCTCCTATAGAGAAGTCCGCTCCAAGAGGGGCAGGGAGCTTTTGCCTGTTTTATTCACTGCTTTATCCCCTGTCACACAATAGGCACTTGGTAAATATTTGTTGGACAAATGAGTGAATAAATGAGTGAATGAACCTTTTCTGATGACAGTTGATACCAAACTGCTTTGCCTAGATCCTGGTTGGCCCTGGATTCGCCCCTCTGACTCAGATGTATTGGCTCTGCTTACAAATATTAACATTTATAATTGGAATTATGCCAACTCAGGTGAATTTTTATTGAGAAAGTTTGCCTTCGAGTGAATCCTGAACCAATTTAATTCCTTCTTCGATGTCAAACAGTGGCCAATTTGGGCCATTTTCATTTTTCTGAAGTTGTTTTCAGGGGGGTGCATCATTTTCAGGTTAATTTTTACAGTGATGATTCCATCCATGCATCAGTTTTCTTGTCTGGATTATATTTCAACAGTAATAACTTTGTCCCAGATACCTCCTTGGCCTCAGGCTGTTCCCTGAACTGCTCAAGCAATTCTTGCTTCAGGGCCTATACAAGGCGTTCCTTCTCCCAGAAATGCTCTTCCATCTGTGTATCTCATCTCTCATTTTCTTCACAGTTTTTCCCCCTCAAAAAAAAAATCACTTTTCAACTAGACCTAAACTGACAACCCTATTTAAATACAAGTTTCTCCCACCCTACATGCCTGATCCTCTCACTGGCTTTAGTGTTCACTTAATGCAAACAATGCGATTGGTTGCCTTGTTTACCACTTTTCTCCCTCTGCTAGAATATAAGCTCCTTGAGGGTGGGAAGTTTTTTTATATATTTTTTATTGATTTCAGAGAGGAAGGGAGACAGAGAGATAGAAAAGTCAATGATGAGAGGGAATCATTGATTGGCTGCCTCCTGCACGCCCCCCACTGGGGCTCAAGCCTGCAACCCAGGCATGTGCCCTTGACCAAAATTGAACCTGGGATCCTTCACTCCACAGGCTGATGCTCTATCCACTGAGCCAAACCGGCTAGGGCAGGGTGGGAAGTTTTTAATCTGTTTTCCCTGCTGTGTCCCCACTGCCTATGAAATCGCCTGGTAGTAGGCACTCAATAAATATTTGTTGAGTAGCTTTCCTGTCATTCTGAACTTTATTTGTGGCTAGTTTTCATCAAGTCTAATATTTCATGATCAAATTTTGCAGGTTCATGTTTTGTTGGCAACATAGGATCCTTCCATCACTTCTCCCTCAACATATTTCAAAGTTCACAGTTTTAGCTGTTGGTTTATTCTGCAGTGTGTATGTCTATCAGTAAGAGTCGTTGTGAAGCTGGTAAGAGTTCGTTTTTATTTCCTGGATGATCCATGGGAAAAACTGTAAGCAATCTCCATCTAGGATTGTCTAAGATGAGCTTTGCTAAGTTGGGTTTTTGGTAAGTTTCTGGTCAACTTTGTGTAGTGTGTAAAATATAAACTCCTCCTCACCACAGCCCATGGGGCCTTAGGGATATGGCCTATGACCACCTCTATAACCTCATCTCTAGTCACTCCTTTCCTGGAAGATTCCAGTAATCCTAACATTCCAACCAGCAAGCCTTCTGGTGGAACTTACCTGTTTCTGTGCTGTGTACTCTCAGTCTTACCTATCACCTTAAGGTAAACCTCCTGAGAACTGAGAATATATTAGTTCGGGTCCCTCCAGAAGCAGACCCTGAGACAAGGATTGAAGTCAAGTAGTTTGTCTTGTTCACTGAGCCTTGCACATAATAAAGGCTCTATTCAATTGAAGGATGAAGGTGTTTATCTGTTATGTTGCTGGAGCAAAACTGGATCTAAAATGTCAAGGTTCAATGCACCAAGAGGTTGCAGTTCGATTCCAGGTCAGGGCATGTGCTGGGGTTTCAGGCTCGATCTTGCTGGGGGCTGTGTAGGAGGCAGCCAATTGATATTTCTCTCTCTGTCCTCTCTCTCTCTTCCTCTCTAAAATTCAATTTAAAAAGTATTTTAAAATATCATGGTTCAAATATCCTTGGGGTCAAACAGTAGGGTGAAAACATCGTTTTTCTCTGACCACTCCCACCGGCCACCACACCCACCCTGGGAAATTCCTGAGGACGGAGATCCTGGTGTCTGTCAGTGCCTGGCACACTGTCAGGGCTTGGCACACAGGAGGAACTCAATTCCCACCCCTTCATCCCAATGTGGTCCGTACAAGGCCAGTTGTTTAGCAAAATGGCTACTATGAGAAAGATGGAGAATGTTGAGCAATGGTGAAGAGGTAGCACTTACAAAAGGGGGAAGTGTAGTTAGGAAAACTGGCATGCTTTACTAAGGCCATCACCTGTCTACCCCATGATAGCAATTCCATTCCCAGATATATACCCAAGAGAAACGAGTGCATATGTCCATCAAAAGATGTTCACAGCCCTGACCGGTTTGGCTCAGTGGATAGAGCTTCGGCCTGCGGACTGAAGGGTCCCAGGTTCGATTCCGGTCAAGGGCATGTGCCTTGGTTGCGGGCACATCCCTGGTAGGGGGTATGCAGGAGGCAGCTGATGGATGTTTCTCTCTCATTGATGTTTCTGACTCTCTATCCCTCTCCCTTCCTCTCTGTAAAAAATCAATAAAATATATTTTTTAAAAAAAAGATGTTCACAGAATAATTTTTTTTCTCAGTCTTTTTATTATAGTACATGGACTGGGACTGATGGGATGGAGTAGATGTGGGCAACCATTGCTCTGATTAGCATCAAATGCCTATCCCGATAGCCATGAATGTGCCAAAGGTGCCACCACTTGGCATCGCAGCTTTCCTGAGGCCATTAGCTTCTGACCCCACATTCCGATCCTGAGACAGAAAAAGGTGCCACAGAGTGCCCCAGCCACCATGCCCATGGTGCAGCCCATCACCAAGCCCATCTTTGCGTGGTCAAAGCAGGTTGGCTGGGACTGTCCATAGGGACCCATGGCCCCTGGCATCCCCTTATGGCTTCAGTCACTCCAAGAATTATTCTTAATAGCCCCAGATAGAGAAGTGCCCAAATATCCACTGACACTAGAATGGATGAAGTGTAGTCTAGTCACACAATGGAAGAGCACAGCCATGAGGATGGACAAACTATGGACCATGTAACAACATGTAACAACGTGGATCTGTCTCACAAACATAGCGCTAAATGAAAGAAGTCAGATACAAAATGTCTCCCTGCACTTAAATGAAGTATTGCACTAGACAAATGAACCTATACTGTTACAAGTTGGGAGAGTGTTTACCCTTGGGGCGGGGGAGGGTGGACCTGAAGGAACTTCCTGGAGACAGAGGTGCCCTGGGAGAAGATTGAAGTGCCAGACAGGTGAGTGAAGAAGCCATTTTGGATGTCCAGCCCAGTTGAGCTTTCAAATGAATCCAGCCCCAGCCACCATCTGACCCCAAGAAGAACCACCTCACTGAGTGCAGTCAAGCATAGGACCATGAAAGACAATATTAAATTGTCATTTAAGCCACTAAGTTTTAGGATGCTTGTTACACAGCAACAGATAACCAGAACACCCAGGAAAGGCTGCATTGGCCCTCTTAAGGTCTGACACCCCCACTCCCACAACCCCCTCACAATAAAATTAACACCAGCCAGTCATATTTTTCAGTCCCTTTAATACAGTGCTCAGTGGAGAGGACAGAGTGGCAGACAGGGGGTAGAGAAGATCCAATCAGTCCTCATCTGGCAGCTGGATCTTGCTGGGGTCAAAACGGTTGGATTCCATGATGGGAAGACCATGGGCCTCTCGGTATTTTACAAGCTTTTCAGCTTCCCGGCGGGCCCACTCATGCATCCTGGAGGCAACAGCATGGGGGAGGGAAGACATGAGGAAGCCTCACTGGACATCAATCCCCACCTTAGCTCCCCATTCCTCAACGTACAGGACAGGACTCCTAGCAGAGTCCCCTTTGACTTCCACCCCTACCTCTGCCCCCACCCATCCCATTCTCTTGGACACCCCATGAACCTGTAGTCAGGCAGATAAGCCACAAAGGTGGTGCCAAAGACCAAGACGATGGAGAAGCCAAAGAAGAAGACGGCCCGCATGTTCCAGGCATCCACAACAGGGTCCTTGTCGTAGCCATGAGAGTCGGGGTTCTGTGGAAGGAGAAGAGGTCAATGAGGGCTGCCTGCTGCTCCACAAAGCCTTATGCTGGCCCTGCATAAGCTGGTTTCCAGTTTCACCTCGAACCAGTCTCCCCTCACTCCCTAAATTCCTCTCTTTCTGTCCTTAAGACTTGTCAAGCTCCTTCCCAACACAGGGCCTTTGCACTTACTGCTCCCTCTGCCTGGAAAGCTTTTCCCTCAGGCAGGCTTGGCTGGATCTGCCTCCTCATTCAAAGTTTTGGCTTCTCATCTTCTCTTAAGAGGCATTCCCTAGTCACCTTGTCTATTAAGTTGAACTATTGGAAAGTGCCATTTTCTTTGGTCAAAAATGGTTGAATACTGGCCATTTCCTATGGTTCAACCTAATAAAATTACCCCCTACCCCCAAGTCACTCTCGATCCATTTATCCTGCTTAACATTCTTTCTAGCATTTATTAGTTTACCAAAGTAACATCCCACAGATCCTGTATATCATATTATCTTATGTTACCAATTACATGTTCTATATTACCATTTTCAGGTATTTTACATATTTATCCTCTGTGTTTCCCACTATCATATAAGCTCTATAAGAGCAAGGGCTTTATCTGATTTCTACACTGCTGGACCCCCAGGGCCCTGAACTGTGCCTGGCATCCAGTAGGCCCTCAATACATATTTACAGAATGAATGGATGAATGAATGAGCATCCTATATATCCAAGCCCCTCAACCAGAGATTAATATTGATGAAGTACCTCTTATGTGTCAGGCCTTTTCACATACACAGACTTCACAATATCCCCGTGAGTTGGAAAATAGTAATAATAAGTAACACCTTCTAAATGCTGAGTACTTACTAAGTGCCCGATGCTGTTCTGAGCATTTTGACTCATTTAATTATACGATGCAGGTTTAGTATTTTTAAAAAGGTGTCCTAATACTTTTCCCATTTTACAAAGAAACTGAGGCACTAAGGGGTGAAGTTACTTCCCAAGGTCACTTAGGTGAGTAACTGCCAGTGCCTGTATTCCAACCCAGGCATTCTGATTTCCGAGCCTCTGCTATCACACAGCACCGAACTGGGAGACCTAAGTTCAAATGTGTCCTGCCGCACATTCAGTTATGCGAACTTGGGCAAGTCACTTGGCACCTCTGTGCTTCAGTTTCCTCATCTGTACAGTGAGTATACTAACAGGACCTAAGAGACAGGGTTGTTTGGAGGATCAGATAAGTTAATGCATGTAACATGTTTAAAAGACTGGCACCGCAAAAGCGTCCTACCAGGTTTGATACCTTTCTGCAAAATAAGGTCAGTCTCGCCTCTGGCTCTGAACCGAAGGTAACACGGAGAACTGAGAATAAGTTAGGCAAAATACCCAAGTCTTCCAGGATTTACAAGTTGCGCAATCCTCAACCGCCTAAGAAAGTCCTCTACGGCGCCCCGTCCGCCGGCCCCCGATTGACCCTACCGGCGTCCCGTTTCCCCTCTCTCACCTTCTCATAGAGGTTTTCGTCCTCGGGTTCTGGGTCCTCCTGCCAGTGCACTGTCGGTTCCGGCGCCCGCTTTCCCACCGCAGCGGACGGAGCGATGACAGCCCTAGCAGAGCTGGATTCCCAGCGAGCCGGGGCAGCCAGGCGCCCTCGCGTCGCCGCTGCTGCCAAAAGGCGGCGAGCGTACAAACCTAACAGTCCGGGCGCCATGACAGACGGTTGGGCAGGCTCTCAGGGGCGGAGACGGAAATGGGACTCTGCGCAGCCGCAGTGGACCCAGGCGCGCTGATTGTCGCTCCGCCTTCTTCGCACGAAATAGGTCCCAGGCCAGGCCATCTAGCTAGTGTTTTCACGTGACTTAAGGCACTGAGTGGCCCCTTCTCCTCCCTGTGTCACAGCCTCATTAGAGCAACCATTTCCTGATCGCCTCGGTTAAGCTATGGGAGTTCTGCCCGAGCAGCCTGTCAGGTCTGCTCCTTTCCCTGGTGAGAAGAAAGCGATGACATTTGGGATGGGTGGGTGCAGTTCCCAGCCAATCGCACCGGGTTTCCCTTGCCCTCCGTGCAAGAGGCAGGGCTTCCGCTTGGCTTTCATCTTTGAAGGAAGCTAAGCGTCTAAAAAGCGGGCCTCGCCCGATTGGCCAATAAGTACTCCTCTTCTCCACTAGCAGGCGTTTGCACGGGGCTGGGGGCCGGGGAGGTGGCAGTCGCTTGCCAATGAGAGCAGTCCGGGGCTGGCCAATGGCACTCGTCGCCATTTTGTGCTGGTGGTTGCGGCTAGCGGGGAGTAGGCGGCGGCGGGGCTCCCGGGGAGGGCAGCGCGCTCGGCGCTTCGCCCCTTCCTCCCTCCGCCTTGCTGCCTCCAGCTTTGAACTTGGTGATTGCACGAAGCGGCTCCTGCTGAGCTGGGCGAGTTGGTGGAGGAGGCTGAGGGCCGAGGTGATGTCAGGGAGCCCTCCCTTGACAGCCCGAGCCGAGGTGAGCATCGACCTCCGCGGGTCGTGGGGGCGGGGG